GGAAGATCTGGAAGAGCTGATCGATCTCAGAGTCCCCTGGAAACAGGGCCTTCCTGGTCATCTGGGGGAAGAAAAGAAAAGGCCAGTTCCCATCTTTCCATCAGTTGTGTGCCCTATTTCCTGCTGCAAGCAGCCCTCTGTCCCAGCAGGTGCAAACACTGCCCAGACCAGGGCAGTTGCAATGAAGTGGCTGGGAACATCACAGGTGCCTGACTGCTTGCTCCCACTCTTGGCCAGCTCCCTCCTCCCTGCTCTGCAGCTCAGGGACTTTGGGAAAGAGGAAAAGTGCTATTGTACTGCAGGGCTAACCACAGCTCTTCCAAGGGGAGTATGGATCCCTAGGAGATCCATTCTGTCATGCCACGAGAGTGCTTGTTCTCTGCAGCCCACCATGGGGACATCTGGAAGAGTTATCTCCTCCCAGAGTCAAAATGCTGCAGCAGTAAGGCTGAAGTTACCCCTTTTGCAAGGAGAGGCATCATGTTCCAGTGTACTTGGAACTTCTGCCAGGCCCCCAGGGTGGTAGATTTCCTTCTGAGATAAGAACCAGCTAACCCTTAGGGTGGACTTTCCACGAAGCAAACCCAGGACAGGGTGGGAACACAGTATCCCAGATGTTCTGTATCTCATCCTTCCTTCCCACTGCAGCTGCCTCTTCTGCTTATGAAAGAGATTATTTAAACCCATCCTACCATTTCTGCAAAGATGCAGCCAATGCTCCAGATATCCACAGGGGTGGAGTAGTATCTGCATCCCAGCAGTATCTCAGGGGCTCGGTACCACAGAGTCACCACCTGGAAAGGAACCCACAAACAAACTGTGTCTGCTTTCCCTGGATGAAACCAGAGGGGTGGGACCCTCCTTTCTCAGCTGTACTGCAGTGACTGTACAAATCAGAGCATGCTAAGGCCTTGCTGAATTTACAGACACCTTAGTGCCTGCAAGGTTGGGATTAACAGAACATTCTTCAATTACACACCCTGGAACAAATTAAGTGTACCCTGTGGAGAGAAGGTGGGAGCCCAGCTGGCAGCCTGGCTCCAGCAGACAGTCAGCACCTTGTGGGGACATGGAGGTCCCTTAGCTGCAGGTGAGGTTAAGAGCACATTCCATGGCTATGCCTCTGTTATAGATGAGCAACTTCTGCTGCTGCTGCTCCTGTTCACCCACTGTGGATTTGTACCCCACTCAGGGAGCCTCAACACTACCTCATGAGTGTACGTGCGTAGGGGGACCCCGAAAGCTCTTGCCAGTCCAAAATCAGCCAGCTTGATTGCTCCTGCTTCGTTAATGAGCAAGTTCTGTGGCTTCAAATCCCTGTGGATGACCCTGTGCGAGTGGCAGAAGCTCACCCCCTGCAGCAGCTGGAAAAGGTAGTTCTGAGGAGAGAAGAGATTTCAGATAAGGCCATGATGAAAACACTTTGAACTCTGGATTGTGTGAACCAATGCATTTTGGATCTGTTATAGATCTGAATGAGAAGAAAGCCCTTGTTACAGTGCAACATCAGGTTCCCATAAACCACTCAGCAATACACACAAACTGCTGCCACACCACGTGGGGACAGAGAGACTCTGGTCCAGGCACTGTTTTTCTCTTCCACCCACCCATTACTCTCTACAAAGGCAATTAGCAACAGATCCCTCCTTTGTTCTGCAGCAGGATAGGCTGGAGAGCCTGGAAACTGCTGGGAAATAAACATTTCTGAACAATAGTGCTATGAGGGTTTCCCAGCTGAAGTGTTTGAGATCTGGGAGGCTGAGGAATCATTTCCAGGTGCAGTCTAAGCAGCTCTGAGGTGGCTCTGCCCAGCAGAAGGCAGCAGGCACATGCTGTCTGCCCTGCCTGTTGGCATTCCTTCCACACTGTACCTTGACCAAGCTTAAAGGAAGCTCTCCAGCTTGGCATGAGTCCATGTACTTCTTCAGGTCCTGATTCAGATATTCAAACACCATATAGAGCTTCTTCTGGCTGTGTATGACATCCAAGAGCCTGTAAAAGAAGTACAGGCTCTCCCTTCAATATCTGCTCCAAACCTCTGCAAATACCCAAACATCCCTCCTCCCACGCATGCCTCTGCTCTGCTGGTCCTTTGAAGAAGAGAGGGGCAGTTTAAGGGCAGAATCTTGTATGGGGCAGCAGCAGTGTGCTGGTGAAGTGGCAGACCCATGAGGTATTGCTGAAAGCCAGGGAAGTTTAAGGGATTTCTGCGTTTTCCTGTGCATTTTGGTCCTGCTATACAATTGGGCAATGACAGAAAAACCCTCTTGCTGCCTTGCTTCCAGAGCAGGAGCTCATGGATGAGCTGGTGGAGAGGGTGCATCCAGGTCTTACCTGACTATGTTCGGGTGCTTCAGCTCCTTCAGCAGTGAGATTTCTCGGATGGCAGTGCTGGGGACGCCCTCTGACTCCCTGTGGCAGAGACAGGCTGTACTGCACCCTATAACCCAGGGGGATCCCACAGACCAATGGGGCTCTGTGTCCCTTCCTTCTTCCACTGTACCCCAAGGGAGCATTTGAGTTTGGGGTGCAGCAGTGACTGGGGTGGGCTGGGGTGAGGCAGAGGAAATGGAGCTGTGGGCAAGGAGAAGGAGGGGATGACCTAGACATGCAAGCCTTGGGCCAGAGCTTCTTTGGAAGCATATAAGGATGCATTTAGAGAAGCAAAAATGTATTAATTACCTAGGTCTTTCTTTTTGGAGGTGGGGGGAAAATGAAAGCTCTTCGCCCCTCAGGCAGCCGCCTCTCCCATGATGAGGGGCCACTGTGGGGGCCATATTGGCTCCCAGTCCAGGCAGACCCCCCTCACTGTGCATACAGCTCAGGGATGACCCAGGGGAACAGAAATAAGCTCTTACCTGCTCAGTCCCACCCTGGAGGGCCAAGGCTGACCCTGCCTGACCCCCACAGCACAGCCCTGAGGGAGATATTACCTCACAACATGGCAGCTGCTTCCCCCTGCCCTGTGCCGTGGACCAGGGGCCAAGTGGTGCCAGGTCAGGCCCTAAACACTCATACTCAAAGATTTTGAGCTGCTAGCCCAGCAAAGGGTTAAATCAGGCCTTTTTTAGATCACCTAAAAGTTGGGGTCTTCCCTGTGGACCCACACAGCTTCAATGCCCATGAGACACAGAGCCCCCAAGCCCTCCAGACAACACTCCCTTTGGCTCTGCCTTTCCTGGTGCCACAGTACACAAGATTTTTTAATCCTAGAGACACCATTTTTCCCCTCATGTGAGTCCTTTCTGTGCCTCCCGTGCCATACTGGGCACAGGCCTGGCACCATGGCAGGCCCAGGGCTTTGCCCCACTCACTCATCCAGGCGGATCTTCTTGAGGGCCACCAGCTGCCCCGTGCGCTTGTTGCGAGCCTTGTACACCACGCCATAGGTGCCCTCCCCAATCTTCTCCACCTTCTGGAACGATGCCTGGATGGCCTCCATGGCGCTGCCTCGGCCTGGTGACAGCACTAGGGCGGCCGGCACCGCGCTCTGAGGGGAGGGAAAAAAGCGGGAAACAAAAAGGGGAATGTGGGGAAAGTGTTTGAGCCCTCCGGGTGTTCCCTGAGGTGCTGCTGGGGTCTGGCTCCCACCTTGGTGCTCCCTCAGCCTTGAGGAGCCCTCAGGGACCTGCCTGGGGCAGCTGTGGGTGGACAGGGCGGCCTGGTGGGCTCTGAGCAGCTTCAGGTGGACAGAACCACACAGGAGCTGCCCAGGGCTGCTTGTTCTGCTGCCCACGTTGTGCAGTGTGCTGGCTACAGCCAAAAATTGAGGAAAATTGATGTAAAGATGTACTTTGGGGCCTCAGGAAAAGCAGCATGAAGTGCACAGGGCCAGGGGAAGCTCTCCCTCTCCATCTGCACAGTGCTGGGCATCGGTGGAGTAATTAGGTTCATAATTATGGCTTGCTGGGACATGCTGAGGGCAAACATCCAGCAGAAATGTCTTTTTTATTGTTTGGTTGGTTTGGGGAGGTGAAAAGGAGGTTTTGGTGTAGTTTTTTTTTGGATTGGGGTTTTTTGGTGGTTTTTGGTTGTGTTTGGTTGTGGGGTTTTTTTGTTTGGTTTGTTTTTTAGTTTTTTGTTGTGGTTTTTTTGTGGGGATTTTTTTAGGGTTTTGGGGTTTTTTATGTTGTGTGTGGAGGTGTTTTTTGGGGTTTTTTTGTCCTTTTTTCCCCTTTTTATTTTGTCTTGCACAATTGTCCCTTGAACCTCTCCAACATGGGTTGTGCTGCTCAGTCAGCCTTTTGGAAGATGTCCTTGAGCGGGAATTAATCATTGACTTGATAGCTGGCAGAAGATGAGATTAAAATAATCTTATGCATTGTGGCACCAGGCAAGGCAGAGGCAAAGGGAATTTCATCTGGAGGACCTGGGGGCTCCATAGCTCTGGGTGGGCATGGACATTGCACATTCCACAGGGAAGACTCCAACTTTTAGGTGACCTACAAAAGGGCTGATTTAACCCATTGCTGAGCCAGCGGCTCAAAATCTTTGAGTGCAAACACAAAAGGCTGGAGATGGCTGCATTCCACTGCAAACCACAGGCACAGCTCACTCCAAATTTGGGGATTTGCACAATACAGGAGAGTCTTCTCTCCCTTGCACGAACATTTGATTCTCATGTGACATTAGCAATGTTTTGTCCTTCTGTCAATGGTTTAATACAGCTGTGTGGGCCTGGCACTGTGTTCTTACACCAGAGTGGCTCTGATGCAATTTTGTCTCCTTTTCTTGCAATTTTTTTAAAGCCAGCCACTTCCATACACACCATGTACTTAGGAGGAGGAAAACTGAATTTTCTTACATCATCTACAGGGTTTCTGCCTATAGGGCCTAACACACCTGACTTGGCAAGAAAGAGGGATTTAATCAATAAATAACAGGCTGCCTTCTTTTTTCATCTTTATTTAGGAAAATTGAAATCAAAATCTTTAGATACTTCAAAAATAGTGATTTAAGGTCTCTTAAACTTAGTTGTGTCAAGGAAGAAAGTCAAGTACTCAGGCTACTGCAAATATTTATTTTAGAATTAAAATTAATCCTCCCCTTAGATACAAGCTCTTCCTACCTGAAGAGGCAGGTGCTACTGAAAATAGTGACTCTTTGTTCTTCTTGTTTCTTTGGTCAGTCCAGATGGGTGAGTGTTTTGCCAGGAATGCTCCTGTGTGGCAGCTGAGTCAGGGTACCCCAACACAGGCACTCACGGGCCTGCAGCCAGGCAGGGCTAATGAACTTTGTGCTAATGCCCTTTCCCCCATCTGTCAAAGGTGAGCTGCTGAACTCCAGATTCAGAGCTTCTGACTCCTTCATGTCGTGCATTATGAAAGAAGCAGTGTAAACCAAGTGTTCCCTTTCCTTAACCACCCTTTCGAGCAAACAACAAACCTGCTTCCCAGAGCTATTTTCAGTCATGACACCTGGGGCAGGAATGGACAGCCCATAGTCACACACATTGACTCAGTCTTCAAGTGTTTCCCTGCTCAGTGACTTTGCTGTTTGCCACAGCAAACACACTTCCTAATTGGTTTTTAACATATTTGTTGCAAATGGCAGTGCAAGGACCAGCGTGTGGCTGGTCTCAGAGCTGCTGTCAGGATGTGCTGCTTTCCCTCTGCTCCTGCCTCTCTTTGAAGTATTTCCTCTGCTCCTGTATGGCTTGTTCCAGCAGGGCCACGTTCATCCCTTCCACGCAGCTCAATATTCGTGCTTTTACCACAGGACTGGAAGTTTCTAGAGAAAGGAAAACACAGCAGTTTGGAGACAGAGAGTTCCCTCAGGAAACATTATGACTCAAGCTGGGCAAATAATCATAGCCTGAGAACTTCAGGAGACCAGTCTGGCTGCATGCTGCCACTGATGGGAGCAGCAGGAGCAGCTTAATTCAGTGATGTGCTTTCCCTCTGCCCTGATGGCTACAAAATGCTGCTGACTGACACTGCACTCGCCTTGCACCAGGGAACAGTGCCAGTGCCACAAGTGGGTCCATCGCTGGGCATTCAAGGACCCCCATCTGTCTGCCATCTGTCTGCTTTGTGGCTGGATGCATTTTGGTTTTCCCTGGCTGAAAAGCAGCAGTGATGGGTCTGAGGTCATTTCTGAACATCCCTGTGCAGACAAGAGGGCTTAGAAGAGGCTCAAAGCCGGCTACTACCAACAGTTCATTGGTGGCATTCAAGTGGCAACATGGAGCTGCACAGAAGGGGCCAAATCTTGGTGACAGAGCCTTGGGGACACAGCCACCATCTCAGTCTGCTTCCCCCTCCACCCCTGCAAAATAGGGCCAACTCTCTCCTAGGCTAGGATGACCAAAAGAACAATTTTCAAAAGGAATTTTGCAGCAATGGCTTAGCAGGTCACTCTCCAGAGGCCACGTGAAATGTGGCTTTCCACATGCCACTGAGGACTTTTATGGCATGAATGTGAATGCTTTTTATCAGGTGTGGCCAAGATAACAAAGAATTTGCTTCACCATCCCATGGCTCAGCTCAGATCAGCTCCCCACACAAAGCACCAAGCAGCTGGAACACAGGGCACCCCAGGAAAGGACAACAGGGTGCCCTGCATGACACAGTCTGCCTGCATTCCTCACATGTCTGAGGGCAGGGATAATATATTATTAGAGACTTTCAAGGATGGCAAAGACCAATCCAGTCACTTGCAAAGAGGTATTGCTGCAATCTGCCACGTTTGGGGTGAAGACAGTCGGTGTGGTGGCTGGCAGTGATGCCAGAAGGCTTTTCAGCATAGGTTTCACAAGCCCAGCAATGTGGCTGAAATGCTTCCTGTTTCTAAAACAATCAGTGCCAGAGGACCCGATTTTCACCAAGGTAAGGGTGGCTCTTCTCATGGTCAGCTGGGACAGACAGGCTGCTCCTCCCTTGAATCACATGTGTGATGGAGGAGCTGCATGAAGAGGAGCCTTGGTCCAGGCTGCCCTCAGTGACTCAGGGAGCCCCAAAAGAGCTGATGTACCATGAAGAGCAGCAAAGAGCACCAGTTCCCAGAGCATTTACCTTCCCTGTGTTCAGCCTCTCCCAGGACCATGTAGGAAGATCCCACTAGGGCTTGGAATGGCTCCACAAACTCGGTGTCAACACAGACCTGGTACTGAGCTGAGTTGTGCTGCGTGGTGAGAATGGCTTCAGACCGGGCCAGGTCATAGCAGCATAACCTGGGAATGATCAATTTGGGAAGCTCAGCTGTGCAGAAATCCAATTACAACCAAAAAGGGGGTGCTCAGTCAGTAAAGGAAAGGCCTGGCCTGCCAGGAGAGCAGGCTACCCTTCTCACCTGCCAAATGTCCTCAGTGTCTGCCCCTCGGGGACTGAGCTGTTGATCTCCCACGGGAAGTAATAGACACCAGCACTTGGCAGCATCTCACACCACGGCTGACCTGCAGTAAAGTAAAGGCTCTGACTCCATGCTTCTCCAGTACCTGATCCAAACTGTGCTACTGCCCTTCAATTCCTTCCTTGCCCAAGTTCCACCATCCAGGGGGCTGCAAGAGCTTCACAGCTTCCCTGCTGAGTCCTAATGCAGCTCACTGCATGAGCCAAGCCCAGGGCATCCTGGCACAAAGAAGAGCTGCACAGTCCCACACAACCCAGCATGAACTACAGGCAGCTCACCAGGTCCTCTGGATCTCCCTCAGGTTATGGATGAGTTGAGAAAGGTTTAGGAGAAAGGTTTAGGAAGTGGGGAGAATGGTGACTGAGCAGTTCCGAGAGTGTGGCATAGCCTCAGCTGCTGGGGTGACAGAGCACTATGCAGCAAGACTTCAGGAATGATCCCAAGCCTGTTCCCTTACTGCAACATAAAAAAGTGCTGGCAGTGTCAGATCCTGCAGCTGAAGAACAATAAACTGGATCCAAGCCAGCCGAGTTTCATCAGAAGTCTGGCAGGGTTTAGCAGACAGCAAGGAGTGAGAAGGATTAATGCAAAGGAGAGGCTCAGGTGGGACCTCCTGGGAGTGCCTGCGGTGGAGCAGGGCTGGCACAGGCAAGTCACAGCCACAGCACAGAGCACACAGAAAGGCAGGAATGCAAAGCAGCTTCAGCAAAGTTCAAACGCTGCCCAGTCAATGCCATAGCCCGGCTCCTGGCTGTGCCCTGAAGTGGTTTTATTTTGGCATAATTTTCCTTCTAATCTCCCTTGTAGGCTGCCTGTGTTTGGAATGTTTCCATGTCTCATTTACTGCTTTTCTCTCTCTTTTTTTTTTTCTTTTTTCCTCTCTGTGGGGCACCCCAAGAGCTGCACAACAGCCCAGGCAGGGACTCCTGCCATTCACACAAGTGGGTCCATCGCTGGGCATTCAAGGACCCCCAACACTGACTACTCAGCAGAGGGGACACGGAGTGACACACGTGCTGTGGCTTTAATGCCTGGTGTCCCTTCTCCACCCCATGCATTGCTCATAGGGTTGCAACCTTGCAAAATGCCCCACGGAGGACTCTGTGGGAGGCTGGGGAAACCAGGGCGATCCCGGCTTACCCCATCCCTGCACACGCCTCCCTCTCAGCCTGCGGCCCCACAGTGCCATGCCAGGCTGCGGACACTCAGAAAACCCCTCCGGCAGGGTCCCAACCCACCTCCCGGCCCCCTGCGGCTCCGTGCATCCCCGCCACACCTAACATTCAAACAGCAGCGGCAATTCTGCACCTCCAGAAGGGCAAAGGCTGTCCTGTACCGCTCGGGTTTTGCTCCCGTATCCCACTGTGCAGCAAGGTGGATCAGCCAGGGATGCAAGGTACTCAGTGTGCATTTAATGCACTTTTCACTTGGGTTGTAAAAGTCATACCTCAATCACCACATACCCTGTGCCCACCCAATGTGCTACCCAATGCATGCGGCAGCTCCACTGCAGGACCCTGCAGAGAGATTTAAGGCAGGCCCAGCCCCAAGCGCAGCCCCTTACACACAGATCCACAGCACTACCCAACACCGTACCTAACGCGTGCACAAACGCAGCCCGCTAACGGCACTTAATGAGCTGTTTATTTAATCAGCCACTCCATGCCGATGCCGGGCGCTCTCCCAGCGCTGCTCCATGCACACACAGCGCGATTCGAGGCACCGCTTCCCACACACCGAACGCGCGCTCACTGCTCCGCCATGGCCGGCGCGGGAAGGGCGGGCACGGCAGCGGCCCGCCCGCTCGGGAACCACGTGGCGTCGCGGCAGTGACGTCACGCGGGGGCGGGGCCGGCGCAGGGGGGACGGGAAGGACTCGGGATCGGGATCGGGATCGGGCACAGCCGCCGCCGCAACCGCCGCGATGTCGGTGAACGCGGACCTGCGGAGGGAGCGCGCCGCCGCCACTTTCCAGCCCGAGCTGCTCACCCACATCCTAGACGGTGGCCCTGAGCGCACCCGCCGCCGCAAGGAGATCGGTGAGAGAGGGCCCGGGCCGCGGGCACCGGGAGAGACAGCCCCGGTCAGGGCTCGGAGAGGATGCGGGGTGGGAAGGGGAGAGGCTGCGGGGTGGGGAGACCCAGGGAGAGCGGGATACAGGGCGGGGATAGCGGGGCGAGGAGCCACGGAGTTGTGAGGGGGTCGTGGGTCGGGAGAGGGTGTGGAGGAGCTTTTGTGGAGAGGGGAGACGCCAAGGAGGGCAGAAAGCTGTGAGGAGAGGGTTGGCAGGTGCAGAGACAGCGTAATGGGGGGGTTAGAGAGGAACCGGAGCTGTGTTACGTCCCTGGTCCCTCTCCTCCTCAGAAAGGACATAGGGTGGCCCTGATAGAGCGGTGTCCTTTTACTACTCTGTTTCCCCTTCCTCCAGAGGCTCAGAGGCCGCTTCCCATGGGCTCCGTCCCCTCCTTTTTCCTTCCTAGCATGCTCTTGCCCAACAGTACAAATGTCATCTGTTTGTCAACCGGCGCGATGTGGTTATGAGAGATTAATGAGCTACTTCCAGGCTCTTCCCTGGGCTGGGACTGTCAGAGTTGTTGTGAAACTTGGCTGCCAAAGGGGGGACACAGAAAGTCTGTGCTCTCTGGGCACCTTGTTTTCCACTTGGCACGGGGGGAATAATAACCCCTGTTATTCCTGTTATTATTGCCCTTCTGCTGGAGCTGCGTGGGGTTCAGAGTTCACAGGGCTGCCTCAGCCTCTGGGGCTGTTGCTGAGGGACCCGCTGGTCTTACATCAGTGAATTGCCCTCCTGCCAAGTCCAGAGAGCTTTGAACTGTGAATGGGGTTTATGTGTGGAATGAGATTGCCAGCAGCTCTCAAAGAGCTTTGATTTCATTCTCATTTCGTTAACCTCTCATTTTATTTTCACTTTTTTGATACCCATGCCTTGAGGTAGAGCAGGTAAAATGCTGGGTCGTTGCTCACTCCCTGCTGAGGTTTGTGGAAACTGAGTTTGTTTTCCTCTTCTGTTCTGTCCCCAGAGGCCTTAGTTCTGAATGACCCCGACTTCCAGCACGAGGATTTGAATTTCCTGTCCCGTAGCCAGCGCTATGAGCAAGCCATCAGGAAGAGCTCCTTGATGGTGATGAAGCTAAGGGAATATGGAATTGCAGATCCCGAGGAGATCTACTGGTTTAAAAGGTACCCAAAAAGATCCAGAGTTTGCTTCTTGTACTTCAGTCACCACCAAGGATGCTAGGGTTGTGCTTTTTTCCTGTGTTTGTTGTCTAAAGGAAGCTCAAGACCTGTATAAAAGCCCACTTGAGTCTGGCTTCAGTGAATTTCAGATGAAACCCTGAATTCCTTAATGTCGTATTTTCTTAGGGTTTTTTTTTAAGAGAAATGCAACGTTAACAATGATATGCTCTTTTGTATGTGTGGTGCAGAAACTAAAAAACAGAACTTGAAGTCAGATTTTTTTTGTCCCGAAAGGAATAAAAAAATCATACTGAATTACTTTGAATCTGAATAGATCTGATGAGTTTGCAGCTTCTAATGAAATCTCTAAAAGCTGGTTACTTCACTTTGCACTTAGGCCCAATAAAGTCACATTGCAGAGATACTTGAAACTATTCCAAGATGGTTTATAAGTTCTTGTGTATCACTGTCTGCTCTGGCTCCCTCCTGTAAGCTCCAGAGGTTCTCTTTGACCCAGAGGCTTTTTGTTGTACCTGACCTTTGGTTTATCTGATAGCACCACCTTTGGATCAAGTTAATGAAAATAAGATTGCCTTTACATGTGGGTTTTCATTCCTTCCAGAAGAAATTAGAACTCAGTTCCTGATTTTGATGTATTTCTTCCCTTAATTCTGTTAAACTCTTTCTGATTTAATCAAACAGAAAGTGATAACAGAGAAGTTACACAGATCCAGAAATCTCTCATAATCCCATGGGTATATACTCTGGCAGATTAAATAATGAGCCACAAGCCCCCTGTGACTGGTTTTGTGGAAAAGCTGTCATGGGCCCCAGGGCATGACCCCTGGCACTAGGAAAATGAAGTTATCTTGTCCACTGTGGTTTTACTTTGAGAGAAAATGGTCTGCACTGACCTGTGTCATGTAAATTCTCATGGAAGTCATGTAAATAATTTAAAAATCATCATTGGTGGACAGTGATAACAGGGAACAAGCTCAGTGACAGTAGAGGTTATTCAGGTGCTGCACAGCCAAAGTTAATAATTTTTTTTCCAACACAGGGTTTATTGAAAGTGATGGGGAAGTTTCTTCATTTATTTATTTGTTTCTACAGACAAAATTTAGCAAAATCTATCCAATCTATCAGATGGAAAATTTTAACAAATTTTCTGTCTTTTTGTACCATTATTAAGTGACAATATTATATGAAAACAGGCTTTTCTGAAGTAGTCAAATGAGAGATTCTAGTTTTGTCTTTCCATAAGCTCACTTTGGATTCAGCAATTCCTAAGTGAATGAAAGTGTAATAAATATTTCATACAGATACCAGCTAGTACCTCCATATCTAACATGGCATAAATGGTCAGGTGTGACTAGTCAGAATTCACAGTCCAAAACCAACAGAAACAATAAAAAAGCCTTACTTTTTTCCAAGGTAAAATCTAATTGCCACCATTCAGGATTTCAAAATATAATTGCAGTTACTGCAGACTGATTGTATTTGCCATTTTTTATTTATTTTATATACCATATTTCTTCTGTAATCACGTGTGACAGAATGAAGAGCAGTGCATAAACTTCTTGCCTACAGCTGAAGTGTAGGTGTACAGGTGTTTGCTCTAAGAACTGTACACTATTGATATTCTGAAATGACTTCTTTACTATAATCTCTGGTGTTGGCAAGGGAGGATGTGGGCTTGCTGCTGCTTAAAAAATTGATTAAATGAAAGGATTATTTTTTTCATCCTTTGATTTCATTTGCATTTTAACATCTGTCCCCACTTTCCCACCTGCTGAGTGGTAAAGATTTTTTAGATTTGGTGAACTGCACCCAACTGACAAAATTATGTTTATTTCTATCCCATATCCAAACATGCTAATTGGTGCTAACTGGAAATTACTTCATTAGTGCAAAAGGTGACCTGGAGAAAGTGGTTTGGGCTTATTCATTTTTCCAAACTGAAAACTGAATGGATATGGTGTTGCAACATGCCTCAAAAGAAGTTTATGAAAAAGACTGACATCCTTGATTCAGATGTCAAGTTGTATTTATTGTGATTGACATTTCTACTTCTGGAAGCTTAAGAAATTTTGTCAGTTATCCCCAAAAGGCAGGGACAGATTTACATATGCAATTTTAAAGAATTTTTTTCCTGTAGCTTTCCTAAAGTGCCAGAACACCTCTAGGTAGCTTTGCACATGACTCACCAACTTTATAGCTTGATTTATGAGTAGGTGAGGAGAAATGCTGCTTCCTTCACTGCCCTGAAGATATACTTAAACAATTGCTGCTGCTGCTGTGACATGTTCAAGTGAATGCTCCTCCTTCCTGTTTCCAAAGGGCTTTGTTGGACTCCAGATCATAAGAGGATCTATTAAATATCCTTAATTGCTTTTCATGTAGTAATTCTTCTATGTCAACACTGCAGTTGCAGCTGTTGTGACTACAGCTTTGAAGGCCATCAGCCAAACAATGCCAATATTTCAGATTTCTTTTACAGTCTAACTGCTGCAAAATGTAAGTCAGCATGAAAAATGGGAAATGTTTCTGGTGTAATGCTCCAACGCTCTTGGAAGAGAGAGAGCTGCTCAGTTTTAATTCACCTCCAACTTTAATTAACTTTCATTGAGGAAAATGGGATTAAACAAAGAAGTGAAAAGCAGTTGAGACAAACTGGGTCATGGAAGAAGAGAAGATCTGAGAGCTGCTGGTCACCAGATGAGTCCTGTGTTCATAAGCATTGCATGAATGTGCACTTTGCCTGTTGGAATTTGTTCTTACATCTCTGAATTAGGACCTTTGAGCAAACCAAGGCAGAAAAACTCTACTATGAGCACTACTAAATTAATGCAGAGTGAATGAGTCTGGCTTAATCTTACTTTGATAGAGCTGGAACAGGAGTTTATTGCCAGAACAGTTGTTAGCTCTGAAGCCCAGTTAGCACAGGTCAAACACAGCTCTTGCTCCTTCTCCCCTGGGATGACCCTTCATGCTCATCCTTGAAAGAGTAACTTCAGGAACTGCCCAAAGCAGCAAAGTTTGCACACAGACTGATGTAAAGTAAAGGTCCCTGTTCTGTGACCCAGTTCTGCAGCCTGAGGATGGCTTTGGAGCCTCTGAACACCCAGCTTTGCTTCTGTCATCCTCTGTCCTGAGCCAGTGACACACCTGTCACATAAGTGCCTTTTGCTGTGTGGGTGGCACTGTTTGCTGTGAAATCTGGGAAGGTCTGTATTGCCAAAGCACATTTTACACCCTGCCTTCTCCCAGAAGTGCACTTGGAGCTGCAGGCTCGTTGTGACCCCGGTGGTTGTAGCAAGGGTGACCTCAGAGCAGCTGGGCATTGATCAGGTGGTCACTGCCACCATCAGTCTTTGAACTGTTGCAGAGAGCAGAATTGGAGAACAGCCAATCCAGGTGCTGGGAGTGATGAAATTGGAATGGAAAGCAGTAAAGAGTTCAGAGAAAGAAACAGAAGGGAAGAAATCCTGTTGTTCCTCCCTTCACAGCTGGTACCTCTTCTGTTTGCCCTGTGTTTGAGGAAAACAGGATTCTCTCTCATTGTCATTCAAGGTGTTAAAAGGCACA